CTCATTAGTGTTCATGGCCTCAAACCTGTTCCTGCGATGGTTCTGAAATTCATCACCATCGGACATTGCCCATCATTACCCAATCTTTTCTGGTCCCTGTTAGATACTTTCCATTTCCTTTACTCCCTCCCTCCACTCACCAGTGTGCAATCCTGTGGTTTTGCCCTTACCCATCCTCACCCCTGTGCTCCCACCCCTTGGGTTCACATACATGAGTTACTAGTTAGTCTTCTATTTTTATAATAATGGTCTTATGCAATATTTGTCCTTAGGAGACTGAGTTAATTCACTCAGCAGAATGCTCTCTAGTCTCTCCTAAGTAATGTAGTATATTGTTTTAAATCGTTGCTCCTGAGTGCTGTATAGAATTCCAATGTGTGAATGTACTACAGTTTCTCAATCCATTCAGTTGTAGTTGGACATTTGGGCTGCTTTTATGATACTGCTGCTATGAACATTGGTGTACAGATCTCCATTTTTGTCTCATTGTCAATCTGTGTAGGCCAAGGCCAAGAATTTAAAAGGTATTTTCCATTTCCTCTATGCTTTCAAATTTATCAAAGTATAGCTTTTCATATATTCCAATATTATAAATTTCATTTTCTCTTGTTCTGTTGTGATATCATTTATATTATACCTTGATCCAGTTATTTGTATCATCTCCATTTTTCTCTTTTTAAGTTTGTCAATGGGTTGTCAATTTTACTGACACTTTTGAAAATCCAGCTCCTAATTTTGTTGATGATTTCAATTGTTTTTCAATTTTCCAACTCATTGATTTCAGCTCTTGTTCTTCTAATTTCCTTTTTTTCTAGAGTCCGTGGGGTTAGATTATTGTTCTTTTACTATTTAATGAAGGTGTTGAGTTAGACCATTAATTTTGCGTCTTTCGTCTTTTTTTTTTTTTTTGGTTTTCAAAACAGAGAACATCTGTACATTTTAATATGAAAAGACATTCTTAACATAACAGAGCAGTGATCCACATTTTAGCATTCTCCTTGAAATGGAAAATTTGCTTTGAAGTTACTTCATTCCTTTCCTCTTTTTCAAAAGTGCATCTCGTAGTGCCAGCTGCTTTTCTCTGAAGGAACGCTTGTTTTTTGACCGGACATTCTGACTATACCGCATCATCATAAAGTTCTTCTGTTTTTTCTTCTCTTTATTTGTGGAACTCGAAAATGGATTTATTTTCGTTTTCTTCCTCACAAATTCTTTTC